GAGTATTATAATAATATTATAATGATAACAATATTGTACGTGTAGTGTATACGTGCCCACTAAACGCATTGTACGGTTTCGAGTGGCGATGTTATTTAGCGTCCGTTTCCTACTCTTTTGTACGTATTATTATCATTAAAGTATTGTTATATACACGATAATATCATCGCATTGCGTGCCAGCCCGCCGAATGAGAACTGGTGCTCTTTGGCGAAGTGTATGCCGCACAAAAATACCATTTTTGTATGAATTTGGGTTAATTATAATATAGTCGATCGGACTGTCATTCACACAAAAAAATACTATTCGTCAACGAATTTTTGCTCCTAATTTCTCGATACAAAAGTATCCTGATATTGTGATATCGCGTTGGTATTGCGGAACATCTAAAGCTCGCCGGGGGTACCAAATGCGTGATCCAGCCACCGTATTATAATAAACTGGTGGATTTTATCTGAAAATCAAAATCTATTTGTGCGTATAAAAAATTGTAATTATACGTGCTTTTAGTTATCCTAATTACCGTATAACGATTATTCAAAACACTGGTATATCGGCACGGTAAAAACCCTTAATTTAAATAATACAACAATGTAAGATTAATTTGAAATTTGTATTAAAATATAATAAAATCATTAATAAAACACGTTAGGACAACAAAAAAAGTAAACATTTAATAAAAAACTCTTCAACAATAACTTATTACCAAAATTAAAATAAATTATACTGTTCATCAAATATATATACGCTTTTTATATTATACATTTTTTAAATATACAATTTAGTTTTACTCACAGGTGCAGGTAGCAACTATAGTGTAAGGGCTTTATAATATAGCTTGAAATAAATAACATTTATGGTTTAATTCTGAGCTTGACGATAAAAACTCTTAAAATTGATAGTGATCAATAACTCTGAGAAATTAAAAGCTGTCATATAACTTTAATTTTTAATACTTTAATGATATAATTTATAGATCTATACATCGTAAACAAATATAATTAAGTTTTAGCGGCATGGTGGAGATAACAATTAATAGTGTACTATGTAACTACATTACTTAATTTAAATTCGAAGTTCATTTATTGTTTTGTACTTTAATTATACGAGTATATACTCGTATTAGGAAAGGTAGATAAATAAATAAAACCAGTTATAAGTTTATTAAATAATTTTATGCAAGTTGTTTACCAGAAGTCTAACTGACTATAGCTCAGACTAAAAATTATTTACTAACAGCTAAAAAAGAAAGGTTGATGACATTGCACCTTGAGGAAAACGAGATAAAAGCACAGTTGTATTTGCGATTTAACTTAATTATGCAGTTTAATTCACTGCTGCGCATTTTAAATATTAAAGTTAATCCAGGAAACATTTATTCTTCTTAAGTTCACCAAGATTAAGATTATTACTTATTTTCTATTAATAATAATTACACAAAACTTTATTATGAGTATAATATGAAAAATGTAGGTACTAAGTAAACTCAGCATATTTAGTCGATTATGTTAATTTAATTTACTGTTAAAGTATAGCATATGCTAACTAGTAATTTTTTCTTCATGATATGAAAGTTATATAATGTAATAAAAATTAAATAATATAATGAGCATCAAAAAAAAAAAAAAAATAATAATAAATAAATAAATAATAATATACTTCATGATAAACAAAATTTAATATTAGATAATTTAAAAAATAATCTAATGGATATTTTTAAAAATTTTGTTCTCAGCACAAAACCATACTAAGATAGATTCTTTACTATCATATCAGAATGTAATATTAACATTACTCCTATGTAGTTTTATTGTGTAAGTATATTTTTTACCATAACCCACTCATTGTAATCCTCGAGGAAAAAATAAAAACAAATTAAGACATTTTATAAATACAAGTATAAATTCAGAATAATTCAACTAAACTGAATTTCGTATTTATCTTGAGGTAACTATAATTAATTAAATAAAGTTTAACATTTATTCTTAGAAACTAAATATTACTCTTTGATTACTAAGAAAATGTAAAATATGTTTAAGTTTAAAATTTAAAAAGAGTGAACATCTTTCTCATGTGCATATTTATTTCGTACTTAACTTATATTTATTTGTTTTATACATACATGATTATTTACTAGTGGAAGAATATTCAGAATTAAAGTTATATTGGTACAATTTGGTTTATCGGAAGAAATAAAAAAAAAAATGTGAGCGTATAAATAAGTTTATAACAAGCAGTTGTCTTTTATTTTGAGTCAGTAAACTTTGTCAGTAATAAGCAGACTTTTGTGCACTCTAAGATACTTTAACACTCAAATTATAGTCTTTAAATATGGTAATGTTGATAATGATATACCTTGTTATAACTTATAAGTTTTGAATTTATTGTTGGACGTATATACTCGTACACAAGTTTTTGATAACAATGATGTAGTAACTATTTGTTAATTAATTTTTTTTTCTATCGGCCAATTATTGTTTGTGGATTGAATTTTTACTTGGACATAATAATCATTTATTGAGTTCACACATCATAGCATTTCCATCGTTGGCAGGATAAAGTTCGACATCTTTTAATAAATATTATTTACACTAAGAGCAACATCGGCAATCCTCTTCACACTCGCAAGTTTCCCAAAAATTATTCACATATATATTATTAATACTATACAGTATATACATACAATTATGCTGCAAGGTATTATACGATAAACGAATACAATTGTTTTATTGGCGATCCTTTGCTATAGATTTTGCGTCCATATAAATTACTGGGATCAATTGAAAAAATACATATACACATACAAACACACTTAATGTATACTATATATAATAAAATAAATAATTGGTCAACAAACGTTACATGCAAAAACGATGACGTCGACGGTACGGTATAACCATGTTACATGTATTAACAATATTAAAGGTCGAAAGCGGTGATATTTCGTATTTACGGCGATGGTGGTCGACGGTGAGGAGGTTGCGTGGAGGTGTGGTGTTGCGGGAGCACCGTGGGACGACGATGATGGAAGGCGGAACCGTTGCCTATTATATACGAACGTCCGTTCAAAGGCTCCATTAGTCAACGGTCGGTGTTTTAAAATATATGTATATATATGTTATATAAGCCGTGTGTGTATGTGTGTGTACGCAACGCGCACTCACACTTACGCCAGTTACACAGTTGTAGCGAAAACGGTTATGAATATTATTCACTATATCGTAGTAAATACTCCGTATTACGAGACGGTCTTTGACAAAACCCTTTCTACACCCTCCTGTATTCTTGTGACAGCATCGCTGCGCCATGCACAACACGCCATTCCTCTTATTCTGCGTTCAGTTTCCTGTACCGCAGACGCTGACAACGCTAACGGTTTTTGTAGTAGCTATAGAAGCCGTATAGGTAGTAATATAGACCTTTATACTATATGTCAATATGTGTAAATAGCACGCATACACCAAATAATGGTGTACATATATATAGATTTGTTATATATAAAAAACGCGATGAATGCCGGTAAAAGCATATTATTGGCGTCGGAGAAACACGCTCGGCCTTTAAAAAGCTGCAGAGAACGTGATTTTGTGCGGAAGCGTTAAAAAATTACCTCGTTAAAAGTACACCAGGCAACGGACAGTACTGCTGTCGACTGCAGAAGAATTTTTTTTTTTGTGTCGTTCAAAATACACTTCGTTAAAAAAAAAAGGCCATTTGGACTTTTTTCGATTTTTTTATACACTCCAATACCTCCAACGATAAACTAAAAACCCGACTACGACGATTCACAATCTGCACCGCTGTCGATTTCTCCCGTTTAAGCGAATATACGTTTCAATTTAATACCTACTATTCTGTTTAATGGAGATTAGAGAACTAGATCGAGAACGTTCCACGTACAACGTTTCAATCTAAATGTATATTGAACATACCGTATTAATAATAATGGTTACATTGTTTGTAATACGTGCATTTCCGGACAATAGAAGGAAATTACGTAAAAGGAACACGGCCACGCATCATACGGGTTAATGTTATATATTATGTGGATATGAGGCACCTATACATAGTTATAGCAACAGAAAACGGATATTGAAAAAGAAGCGAATATGCAGAGGATCCCACGTTTGGAGGTAAAGCTAACTGTAGTTACTGACGTTATTCGAGTTTGTAATATTATCATGTATATATATTTAAAAATAATTATGCTTATAAACGCACTGAGATTGATTATTAATAAAAAAACGTATTATTTATTTTAATATTACTGTTATTATTTATAATTTTTTATTATTCATTTCGCTATAATATCTATAACACCATGTTATATGACACCGAACAGTCTGAATTGTTATTAATTATTACAGCCTTTATAATGTAATAGTAATATAACATTTCACGATTTCATAACATTATTAGTGGTATCTAACTATAGTAGGTACTTAAACCGTTAATAATTCCACCTCGCGCGTCGTATATATGATATCATTATATTTTAATATCGTTGTAATACGAGAAGGCAAAGAAGATCTCTATCACTATGCCGGAGAATTTCGTTGCTGTGATATGACATTGATGTATCGAAGTCAAAAATATATTCACTCATTTTCATTTAACTGAAAAATATAATGGATAACACCAACACATCCTTTGGATTTTATATGGACATAGTAAAACTATACATACTAGGTACACAGACATTTATTTATTCTGAACTGTACATTTTGGAACAATCAACCTTAGTGTGTGTTTATATAATATGTATTATAAGTAACAACATCGTTAAGGTCCAAACTATTTTTAATATATTGTTTTAAGAGAAACCTAACCTTAACTGTGGTGTACAGCAAGCAGTATACATAAAATGCCCTTAGGGCCTTAGGGGTTAAGTTAATGTAATGAGTACTCAATCTTCTTTTTGACATAATCGCCAAATATTTTAACCCTTTTGGGATTAACGTTATATTATGTTACTCGTAATAGAAAATAAATGTACTTACGTTCCCAAGGACACCCGTAGATTTCCACACGCATGCAGACGGTTCTAGGATGTATGCTAAAAGGCACGAAACGTATTCTACTCGCCACAAACGGCAGTTCCAATTCTTGATTGACCGACAAATAAGTATTTACATTGCCCGGTAATACCTGGAATTAAATATAAAATATAAATTTTATAAATGCACAGTATATAATTATAATATAGCTATGATTCTTAATTTGTATGTATATTATGTTATACTGTTGTAAAAATATATTTGAAATGGACTATTTTATTAATAGGTTTTATTAATTACTAATTAATTATTACCTACTAAGTGGTATTTAATTCTTGTAATTGTCACTCTACTTACACTGTAGAAGTGTAACCTAGTAGTTTAACACATTATTAAAAATATAAATTACAACAAAACTAATTTTTTTAAGAAATTTCACAAGGTTTATTGTGTTATATTTTTTTGAATATACTTAAATTGTATAGTTAATTTAATCATATAAAAATAGGTTTATTTATTAATACCACAATTATCAGAATTATCAGTTAGAAATTTAAAACAAAATGTCATAAAAACGCATTTCTAATTAAAAAATTTTATTTGATTAAATATCAATAATTGTATTTTTTGATAATGAGATATTCTAAACTTAACAATTTTTTTTTTTAAAGTAACATACAAAGTTTTCAAATTATTATTTTTTCTATTAAGGAAAATGTTAGAAGATGGTTTCAAATTTCACTCTAGAATACATTTTTGTATATAAATACGGAACTTAGATAGTAAATAGAAGCTTAAAACTTGTATTACTGTAACCAATTTGAAAATATTCGCCTAATAGTACACAGTACTGACAAAAGGTAATAAAGAACAGGAGGTAAACTTCTAGAAACTGACTACAAACTAGCCATATAAATTTATGATCAGAGAAACTTGAAAACAAAAATATGAATTCTTTAAACCAAATTTAAAACAACAAACATCATCTTAAATTTTCATAAAATTCATAAATTAATCTTACATAGCCTAAGCATGTATTATAATTAATAATCTATCACTGTCCATAATAACTAATTTATCCTATTATTTAACTATGTAAATTTTAAATATTGTATTTTTTTAATATTATAGTAAATTAAAAAATTATAATTTAAAATATAACAACACTTTTAATTCTTTACAAAAATATTTTTTCAATTCCATTTCTTAATCACTTAGGTATATAATATTTTAACATAAAAAATTTAACAGATGTGTTATTGTTATAATGAATTAGGTTCCATTAATTTTTTTGAATATTCTACCCCGAACATTGCAGAGTATATTCTATTATCAGAACAAAAATTAAAATAAACGTATTTAAACATTATTATTGTTATCAAATTTTAACTTTTAATGATTGAAAGTGAATTTTATCAAATCTGTTTACAAGGTCAATAATAATAATTATATTTATTGTTTTTATTTCTATATAATTCAATAATATACTATGTCATAATGGTGTCGGTCAAATCGTCTTAGTTAAAAATGTATGGTATATGTTAAAGATGATGTAACAATGATGAAACAATTTATTTTCCGAGCAATAAATAGTTAAGTGGTTATTACATAGATCACTTTTTTTTTTACTTATGATATGCATACCTAGTTATTCTATGCATTGAATTTTTTTTTAAAATTATAATAGGTTTCACGCTTTTTATATTTTTCTTTTATAACCCCCATAATCTTTCGTCGTATAGTAAGCTCATCGTTGAATATGAATTTTTACTTAAAAATTTGCATACTATTTATAATTAGTTTTTAGCTGAGCATGATCAAAGAATATTTTTGTAATTTTTCTTCTTTAAACTAAATATCACATTCCCAATCAGTATATTTGTCTAACATGACTGACCTCGTTTCCATTTGTCCACTTCAAGCCTATTTTAATCTCCCTTGGTTTTTCTTATTGGTTTCAGAGAGTTCTAACACGCATAACGTTAAGCTCACATATTATTGCATACAAGTTCAAAAATAATAAATAAATAATGGTTAAGTATCGGATGCAAATATATTTAGTTATTCCAAATATAAATCTTCATCACTGATGTAAAAGACGACTTGCATTGTAAGGTCACGTAGAAACATGTTTGTAAAAATAAAACACAAGACGTGTGGCTTTCTCGTGTACCACCAGAAACAAAGGGATATCCGAAGAAGGGTGTTTGAGGCCTAGAAAAAAGCTAATTTTTTTGAAACACAGAAGTATTTGATAAAGCCTCTAGCCACTCTAGTTGGCATGACCGTGTCTTCTTTTTCATTAGTGCGTGCACACTAGCCATATTAGCAACACTTCTATCAACATTGGTGCTCCTGCGAGTAATAATTGGATCTATTTTTTTTAATGAAGTCACCCAGTCAATGTTGTATTTATTTGTATTTATGTATTTAAAGTTCTTAATTCAATTTATGTTCATTTGTAAAGCCAGATAAGACGAACATGATTATTATTATATTTTTCATATTATTACATTCGTAGCTTATCTAAAAATTTTATTAAATTTAATGTTGTACTCACTAATTTTTCGAGTACACAACTTTGAGAGCCCTTCAAAGATTAGGAGGAAGGTAATAGCTTGAATTTTATTTTACAGCACTCATAAGTTGATAAAAAAATCAACCAGATCCTATTATTCAAGTCTTAGTCAAATTTTATATTTCTTTTTGTTTTTGTTTTTTACGTTATTATAAACGTTTTACTATAAATATAATTTTTTTTTTTTGGTATTCTTTTACTCATCACTGATTATTTGTCGAATTTTCTTTAAGTATGTCTGTTTGTTTACAAATGAAGACCCTTTTTTTCCTTTTAACAAACCATATTTAAAACCATCCTTATTATATACGTATATGATTATTTTTATTGTTTCTATTCTTATACTTTATAATCATATTAGCATTATTAATATTGACATAATTTTACGTTTATCGCAATTGAACTTAGTTTCCAATAATGTATATTTTAAATTTTTAATCCATAATATATTATATGGAGAATTTTCACGGATTATATTATACGTACCCTGGATTCTTTTGAGTCTTTGTATTCCACCCATCGGTCAATGGACTTTCTCCAATATTCGACGGTGAACGCTTCAGTGAACTCTTGTCCCTGACCATTGCCCCACCGGCCTTGTGTTTCGGTCCACGTGACCAAGTGGTCTTCATCCAAATCGATCTCCAGGTACTCTCTGACTTCGCTACTGATTTGCGCTTTTGGGCACCACGCACCTCCGTTCTTCTCTTGGCGAATTCTAAAACAATAATATACCGTACGTTATATTACATTGTTATTAATATTAGCATAATTGTATTGAGGCATGTGCGTTATTCGATGTTTTATTGACATCACATTGGTGAATAATAATGCATAATGTAACATAATATTGTACAAATTATATTGTGTTGATGTTTTGAATATTAGCTTTAAGCGTAACCTGTATAGACAGATTAAGTGAGATAATATTAATTTTACTTTTCAATCCATTTAATGTTCAAAAAGTTAAATTGTTTTTGAATTTAACACTTCAATGCGAATACTAACTTTCCAAAAATACTTTTATAATAATACATTACTGTTTTTCATTATTTATAAATCCAGAGGCATAGGATTTTGTTAAAAACCACACACAATTACAATTAAATAACTATATTATATGCTGATGAAAACTGTGTAAGCTAGATATATTGATACAAGTAGGTACAACACAGTGTTGTTTAATTTTAGATAAACCATATAATTAGAGAGTATTAGAGTACGCGCGGATGGTACAAAACGATTAACGGCTGTAATTTAAAATGATTATTGGTAATACTGTGGTCTAGCCACTCTGACCGCTAATATTAATTACCAAGGATCTTTATATTGTTAAACGGTAGGACGACTGTTATATATTTATTTATTTATTTTGATAATATATTTCATATCTGGTTTAATATATTATTCATTTAAATACAACACCCAATACTATACACGTATGGTATTTTCCGAACAAGTGTACATCAAATATGACGGATTTAACATTACCCGTCATAGAATTATACACAAATAATTATTAATAGAACGATCAATGTTAACGTAGACACATTATGGTTACTTCTCAGTTCTCTTCACGACTTCACCATTAACTTATACGATAATTGATTACAAATCGTAGGTACGGTTTTAGGCATGTGAAAATAAAATTTGCCATGTACTATTTTCACCGTAAGTCACTTGTTTAATGAGCTTCTCGTTCCGGGATGAATAACAATAGTATAATAATAAAACGATTTACTAGTTTATAGTAAAATAGTATTTCTGCGAAATATAGAATTTGTACAGTTACATATTATTATTACTATTGAATGCATTAATTATTGCCATGAATCGTGATATCGGTTTATTGCCGTTATAAATATATAATATTGTCATAATCATCATCATCATCATCATCATCATCGTCGTCGTCATCGTTATCATCGTCTACGCCATTATGATTATTAATTTATTATTATTATTATTATTACTCGTTCATCGCGCCCCGGAATGCAAGCAGAATTATGCGGGAAATTTGGTGCTAATAGTACAGCGAATATTACACAAACAACCGCGCGGATTCTCAGAATAATCTGTACAACTATTTCCGAAATATCCGATGGCATTTGACGATATTTTTCGGCCATGGTGTATTTGCGCCCGATCGGGCCCAACGGAAAAACACAATGCAGTCGAGTCCGCTGTATCGTATTATAATGTTGCTATGGATTTACCATTTATACATACACCTCATTGTTCAACAATAATAATGACGATAATATTACACTGTTGTCGAGTTTTCGGCGCACGGTCACTGCTCGACGAGCGAGCGTACATTTATCACTCGTGGGCGGCTTAGGAATTCCGGCTCTCTTGACTCATATTCCAGTCCTACTGGCAAAGAATTTCTAACAACTGTGATCTGCCCTATTCCAGCTATTTTTTACGCTCAGTAATCGATAAATCCCGACTGCAAAAGGACAAAAAGGAAAGACGAAACCACACTCTTCAAAAAATGTCTGCACTATATGGATTTTAATGAAAAATTAGTGTCATATGCATCTGTACGACTGCAAAAAATTGTGAGATATAAAAATAAATCTACATACATCAATAACCTAATCTCAAAAAATAATGTTATGAATGACAGAAAAGCTTTTCTGAAAAACTGGGATTGATCAAAAAAAAAAAAAAAAATGTCTGTTATAATATAGCAGATAATATGACAATATAATATAATCTTAATGCATGTTTCATGTACTAACGGTTATTATTTAGGTACATCATAAAATGTAAATTAAATATCTGACGTAATAACTATAATATGTTTAAATCTATTTAAGAGATTAATTTTTTCAACAAAACTAAAAATCAATACTAATAGTAATACGGTGAAATAAAAAACAAATAATTTTTAAAATGGTTTATGAAACATGTATTTATGTATTAATTATTCTTTTTTTCACCATTATAAATTTTACTCTTTGTACAGTATGTAATATAGTAATTTAAAAATAAGTCTATATAACATACAATACAAGGATATAATTAACATATTTTTATCATCCTAAATACTTTATTTATACTGATAGATACCATAAAAATATTAATATTTAATTTAATATTTTATTAATTAGGATTGTGAATAATATAAAGCGCGTTTAGGTACCTACTTAATAAAGAAAATAGATTTCAGTTCGAACCAACATCCAAAGATACGGTAACTAGTAAATGAAAATATCGAATATATCGAATATAATTTTTTATATGTATAAAAATGTGAATTTTCATCGGAAAAAATCGACATTTATATTTTTATTACTTGTTTTTTTATACTTTTATCAAGCAAAACCATGTTTATAGGACGAAGTCGTTCGCTAAGTCAGCAGTGGACAAATCCTTGTTGTTCTGTTCGAAATAACTCGTTGCGACTATTTTATAAACAATAATTGTCTCTACGTAATAGAATTGCAGTACATTTTATAACAAAAAGAGAAATAAAATTAAAGAAATGAAAAACTATATCATTAAACAAATTTCCGGATTAATTAAAGACATTTTTTCTGTGTCTAATATGCAACATCCTATTTATTCCAATCACTGTAAAAGCATTTGTCTTTATTTATTTTATGATTTTTTTTTTCTTTATTCTTTTTGGATTATACAATTTGAAGTATAAATAAAAAGTTTTTTCTGTGTGTGTGTATATATATATATATATATAAACATACATTTTTAAGTTTAGCGAAAGCAATTCATTTCGACAACAGAGTGGTGTATAGAAGTTGTGCAATTTGTTTAATTTCATTTCATTTTGATAAAAATGTCTTTATAAAAAAAAAAAAAAGCATACAAAAAAATCATTTCGCATAATTCACGATAACCTAATTAATGACTTTAATTATTTGGTTGGACTTGTAGTTTGTTCGTTGGTTGACAGAAAAAAATCCATCAATAATTAAACTGCGAGAATAATTAATAAAATAAAAAACAAATAAAAACTTAAATTGCTTTTGGACACAACGGTACTGCTCTTAATGGTGCGCTGTCCAATTTATGATCTAATTTTATATTTTATATCCACCAGTGATTTATCATTATTGTACTGCAGTTATAGGGAATAAAAAGAGATATTAGTATCACCGAATGTCCGTCCCCTAACGAACCTTTTTTTTTTTTTTTGTTTAGCATGAAATAATAATAACATCATATTATATTATATTATGAATATAAAATAGAATGATGACTAAAGTATAAGTATTACTGTATTAGGTATACGTTTAATGGTCGTTACGATGTATTTTAATTCTTAATAATCAAAAGCTGCCAAAAAAAAAAAATAGTAAAATATTCTTAGACGGGTTCGAGTTAAATTTTGAAATCTGAGATTCTGTTAAAAGTAATATAGTTTATATTATAATCGTGTTTTGCAAGGATATTAGAAACACGGGATTCGAACTATGTCTGGAAGCCGAAATTTTTGAAAATAGCCTGTAGCTGTGGTAAAATAGTATTATTAAATTATTTATTTAGTGCGTGGATTTTCGTATTAACTATAAATACATAATATTATTGAATGTAGATTTCTTAATCCTAATTTAAAATTAGCAAATTTCATGATACTCTTCAATAAATAAAATGTATTCATTATTAAATACTTTGAATTAAATAAATTTTCTTAAATATTTTATGAATAATTATTTTCTTCATTAAATATTTCTTATTTTATTTGTACCTTCTCTCTAACATATTAACAATAATCATTATTCTGTAAGATATCTATTATAAATCATAACATAGGACGTAGTAATAAATATTAAGATAAAATAGATAAACGATTTTTGATATTGCTATATAAGGTAGGTATCTACTATAGAATATATTATTCTAGAGTTGTCCGGTTGTCCGGTTGTTCTATTTTGTTTATTTTTATAATCATTATTTTTCTTTTTTAAATGATTCAAACTTTAAAAATCAGTGTTGAATAAAAACATTTTTTTTAATATTATATGTTTTTTGATATGTATTTTTTTATTTAATAATACATACATATTTATACCCCAATAATTGCATGTGTTATTCAATTAAATGCAATTTTAAAAAAGCACAATGATAAAATGTCACGGGTGGGATTTACAGACAATATCACCTTCCTGTTATTCAGAAATTGTAATTAAACGGTTAAAATTATTAGATACAAATATTTCCCTCCAACATTAAGGAAAACTTTTTGTTTTTATTTTTGGTCAGTTTATAGTGGCATACTATTATAAAATATTTTGTTTTTACAAGTATAATAATGTTAACATGGACATTTTTTTTTGTATTATTTAAATACATTTATTTTAAATTATTATCTTTTGCCCGTTACCTAAATTATATTATCAACGTGAAAGTTAAGGTCATAAATGATGTGTAATAGTTTTCATATTTTACTTTATATACCATAAATTATAACTTTAAATGTACCTACACAAAAAAACTTTGTAATGTATTGCACATACACTGACATCATATTTAAAGTATTTATAATTCGATAATAATTAAATTAAAGCAACGCGTATAATAGTATTTTAACTTTTAAGTATGTTTTATTTTTGTAATCTGTATTATTAATTATCATTATTCATTTATCATAGATTATCTGTTGTAAGATATTTCAGTTTCTAAACCCATTTATATTATTGAAAACTGTATTAACTAGATGTTAGGTTTGATTGGCCATTAAAAAAGTAA